GGCATTCAACCCACTCACTCCTTGACATGGGGGACCAGCCCCAAGCAGCACGAGCGACACCGAGGGAAAGCGCAACGCAAGCACCTTTACCAGGGCCTCGTCCACGGTTTTGACGTCGTCATGGAACAGAGAGTCGGGGAAGAAGGCCTCAACAACTCTTCGTCCAGTACCCTCTTTTTCAACGCTCAAGTGGCCAGCAACTGCAACTCCTAAACTATCCACAGCCAACCTCAGGGCCCCCAGTCCGTCGAAAAGGCCAACAGTCAACACCTGCAGAGTCCCCCCCTCTCTCACTGTTCAATGCAGCCATGCCGTAACTGGTCAGACCCTCGCTGACACAGATACCTCCGCCTGTCGTAGATGCGTCACTGCAAGTCACATGCTCCACGAAAGGGCATCGAAAGTCAATCTGGGCCAACGGGGTCAACAGAATGAAAGTAAGTAGCTCTTCCTTGACGGCAAGCGGGACAGAGAGTCGAATAACTGGTGGCAGCACTTTCAACTTTTCCATGAACCTCCACACCTCGTTGAGGGTGGCCAGAAGCGGTCTTCGGAACAGGGCGAAATACACCAAACCACCGCAGACCACCTGCAGTTCCTTCAACGTGCACCTCTCCTGGTTTACCAACATCCACGCTAACTGGCAGTAAAGAACCACCTTGCTGGGCTTTGGCTGAGCGAAACCTGCAACCCCATCAACGATCGCACCTTGGATCTCCGCCACCTCTGCACGCACCACGGCTTTCTTGGGGTGACGGGGGATGCCTTGACTGGAGTACTGCTCCCGTAGGCGGTGCACCGCCTCTGCAACTTGGCCACCAAGGGCTTGAGCCGTGGGGGGGTCAAAGCGCTCCACCAAATCAAAATTATCAAGGTAGACTCTATACTGCGTTCGTGCCCGGCTGCTCACGCGATCCTTTCGCATCTCACTTTCACCACCTAGTCCACCGGTCGTTTGCTGGCTCCAACTGACAATGTTCCTGTGAACGTGTTGTGCAATGGACACGCTATTAACAAAGCCCATGGGCAGTACACACGCAGTCAGCACGCAGGGACGACCACGCCATCTCTCAGGGACCAACGATTCAGGAACACGACGATTAAATCCCAAGAACTTCTTCCAGGCGTTCGGAATCTTGAACAGGTAAAAGAAACACCGGATGTCTTCAGAACTAATCAACGCGACTTCACCATCATCCATCAAAAAAGTACCAAAACTGCTGATATTCGGGAGAGTGACCACGTCTCCCACCAATGAGTCACACAACTGGTTAAGGGGTATAAGATTCATGATGAGTCTTTGGGTCTCAACTGTTACAGCAAAGGCACCTTGTCGATGTGGAAGAGCTGGTCCATGGGCGTGACTTCGCAAATCTTCTTCTCGATGAGCCCCTCGCAAACGGACGGCCAGTCATCACCCACCATGACTCGAGGGGCCCGAGGGCAGGATAGGTTGGAGGTGTCAACAAGGTGGTCCTCAAAATGATCCAGGTAATGGAGGGTTCCATGAGCGCAGAAGTCTCGCAACTCCAGCTGCCCTACCTCGTCAGGTAAAGAACCACGAACACCTTCCCAACTCAGCGTTTGGGCGACGCGAACCTCTTCCCCGTCATACGTCACCCCCCTCTCGCAAAAAAGTCCTTGAAGTCGAAACGCCCCAACAGTTCCTCCCACACCTTGAAGCGCTCGCATAACTTCCCTAAGTTTTCCACCACTCCGCAAGGTTCACGGTTCGGCCGAGGACCATCGCCCCTGCCGCAAGCATACTTATTCAGCCCATAGATCATGTCTGCCACTGCCGGTAGAGGGATTGGAAATAAGTCATCAGGCATGGAATTTGTATCCTCTACCGTGTTCTGCATGCGCTCACCTTCCAATTCACTAAGCTTCAACGGCCATGGACATGAGCTGCTGAAACTTGTTGGGCGAAACATCATCTTCTACAACTGCTTTTCTTTGCTCACGCCACTCCCTTCTTCCGGGAGTCTGACATTCTCTGCAGTTGACGAGGCGCCGCGGTCTTCTGCTCCAATGGCCGGCACCGACTGGGAGATGTCAACCTGACCCATGCCTAGGTCGACACCTCGCTCACCTCCCTCAGCGCGGGAGACCAACAATGAATTCTCACTCTGCTCATCTCCTCCTCGTAGCGCCGTATGCTGCACCGCGTCTGCCAACCCGGTTGCAGCTGAAGGGCGCGTCACCGCCCCGTGAAACTCCTCAAGCCCAAGTGCCTCTCTTTGCTGCCTGCCGTTGTCGCCAAAGCCCTTCGGGAGAGTACGCCCCACTTCAACAACCTCTCCCCCCCATTTTGCTCCTCTCAACTTCTTCACTCCTTGTCGCCTTTCTCCTCTTTCTTCTTTCCGTCGCCTTTTCGAGCGCCCTTGTCCCTGTATTTGCCGTCTCCTTTGCCCTTCTCTCTCTTTCCTTTTTCTTTTCCTTTGCCACCTTTGTAGAAATCCTTGTCCTCCCAATGCCAGCGACCTGTATTGCGGCGCATGATCTGATCCTCGGTCTGCATCTCCCTGCCTGCTTCTCCTGCCTCCGGTGTGGTCAGCAGTGAAGGACGATCTGCGCCTACCAGTTCTAGCCTGCGAGCGATCTCGATGGCTGTGCCTCTTGCCATGGCCTCTAAGGCCTTGAGTCGTTGGCTCGCCACGTCCATGGCGGCCGCTATGCGGCCTCGCAAGCTCAGGTCCAGGATGGTCGCGAGGTGCAATGATTCTCTGGCGAATGCCACCCCCATATGTGGTTGCAAGTGCGCCCGAAAATACTGAGCCACCACGGGAGCCACTGCTCCCTCCACCGCCGGAACACTGACGTAGCCCTGAGCTGTCATCATCTGATCTTGCATGTCCAACACTGCGGCATTGGTCAACGCTCCTGGAACACGGCGCCACAGGCGCAAGGACCTCCTTTCGCTCTCGAACAGTTCTGAAGTTGCAATGCGCCTCTCTCCTAAACTCGAGCTGTCGCTTGACTCCCCCGTCTCCTCCCCCGAGGATTCCTTGCTCCGGGAACGGGAGCCCTTTTTCTTCTTCTTCTTGCCCTTCCTGATTTTTCGGGCTTTCCGCATCAGCTCGTGCCTCACGTTGGCATCTGGGTCCAACGCTGTGTGCTTGAAGACGTCTTTGAGGGGTGCCTCCAACTGAACCTTCACCTTGGCCTTCCTCTTCTTGCCCTTTTTCAATGTCTTCTCTCCTGCAACTTCCTCCCTCCGCACGGGAGCCTCCACGGCCTCGGGAGAGTAGCCGACATCCCCTCCCTCTGCTCTCTTGACCATCTCTACACGAATACGGTGGAGAGGATCGTCTTCTCGGGGACGCGGATGTCCTCAACAAAATTCCTCGGCCGGCTCTTCCTGGACGTGGTAGCGGAGGCCGTGGATCAAGTCCTTGGCCCAAACCAACCTGTCGCATGGATCTGGGCATACATGGATCCTCAACTCTTTGCAAACTTCTCGTAACAGGGATTCGCTCTGTGTCCCTGTCACCCAAAGCCTCCAAGTCGCATCCCCCTCGTTGACCACGACGCCACGCGTCTCCCCTGCCACAAGAACGGGAGACTCCCAGTAGCGACCCTCCAGCACCACCTTCTGCCGTAGGTTCAATGCACTGAAAGTGATCTTCAACGACGCCCATTCGACTTCCTCTCGAACGGGAGACTCTGCTGCCTCCCCCCTCGCCGGCCTGCGAAGCACTTCCACCCTTGGCCTTCGAAGGGCTCCTTCTCGACGTTCCACTGGTGCTGCTGCCGGTCGTCGACGCGGTGGCATGGCGGTCAGTAGTAACCGCGCTCGTACTCCCTCCACAGGCGGAAGTTGGTATTGCGCTCGTCCTTCTTCCGTCCCTTGTTTGGAGGGGGTTCACGGTAGGCCCAAGACTTTGACCGCACGTCTGTCTCTTGCCAGCTGGAGTATCCCGGGGGTGGATGGTCGGGCTCACGTGGTGGCCTGACCGGAGGTGGCTTCGGTGGAGGGGGGATGGCTCTCTTCTGAGCGTTCGTGAGCCCCGATGCACGGGATGGTAAGGGTCTGTGAGGTGAAGGGGACACAAACTCTCGGGGACTGGGGCTCGGTGTATGGGGTGACGGGGTGACTTACGGTCACTCTTTCTCTCCCCCTTGTCTCTACGGGAGTGGGAATGGCTCGTGCGGCCCTTCTCAACTGGGCTTCTGGCGCGGCTGGATTGGCGTCTGCGGCGATCTCGACGATGGCTACGGGAGCGAGGTGTGGCTCCCTCCTTGGTGTCCTGTTCTTTGTCTCTGCGGCGACGGCGTTCTCGATCTCGGGAGCTCCTTTTCTTTTCCTTTCCTCTGGGCTCAACCTCTTCGTCCTTCTCCTCACCTTCAACTGAGTTCTTCACTTCAGCCTCCTTCTTCTCCTCTGCTGGGCGATCTCCACTAGTGCTTACAGCGTCAGCTTCAAGCGGGTCAACAACGGGGGCACTGCCGGGTTCTGTAGGGGCCTTGTCCTCTTCCGGCTTGGGCTCTTCTTTCACTGACTTCCTCTGACTTTCCTCTCCCCCTACCGGGAGAATGGGTTCACCAGGAGTGGCAGCCCCTGGTTCCCCCGCTTCAACGAAGTCGAGCAGCTGCGAGTAGGTCACACGCAAAAGCTCGACACCACGAAGCTGCAACGCGCCACTTGCCTCCTTCGCGTACAGGAGGTTATACACGCGGCGGAGCGAGAGGCAAAGCGCACACGAGCAGCTCTCGAACTCGTGTGACATCTAACCTCCCGCTAAGCCGAGAAGCTGCGGGTATCAAATTTAGGGGGTGTTCATCTTTAAATTCGGGGCGAAGACCATATACATACAGTGTTTGTTTCTTTTTGGGGTTACATCTTCGATTCCGGAGTTCTTGTGCCACGTTTGAGCATTTGGGGACAGCAGCATAGAGCTTTAAGAAACAAAGTAAAACTGTAGAGCAATCTTTCAGTAGAGCGGAGGGGGTCAACGGTGCAAACTTTAGTAGGAGGGCTGACAATCTCAGGTCCTCACATCATACCATCTGGAACAGCTCCCAGAACTGGAAGGACAACGCTTCCAACAAGTCCAGCCACCTATTTCGAAAGGTTAAGTGAAAGCATGTGAAAGCAAACAGTCCCATTTCCGGAGGTTCCGAAAGAGTGGAAGAACGTCACTGAATATTCTCTGAACTAGTTGGCTAGTTCAGTCTGGACTCCGGAATTCAATTGCCAAACAGAGGTTCCAAAGTGACCACAGTTCCAATGGCGCATTTTTTCCTTTTTACACGCGACTGTAGAGACATGTTTCTAGATTGACTCTTGATCGTCTCTGTGAAACAGAATACGTCGTGTAGATGTCCGGAGCAGCTCTGCTCAAGCAAGCCCTGTGGACAAATCTCACCCAAACACTGGCTCAATGATCATTTGCGTAGGCTGCTTCAATCACGACATCTATGGGTGACACCTTTTGAGATATACTACAAAGAGAAACTCAGAGAAAATTGCGAGTTTCTCGTCCCTGAGACACGTGAAGGGGAAGTTTCTGCCCCTGCGCACGCTTCTCCAACATGGTCTTGCCAGTGTTTTCTTTACAATTGCCTGATTTGTGCTTTGATGAGAAGCATGCCTTGAAACGGCGTAGATTGCACATGGGACATGAAGGTCAGCATTTCGTGTGCATGCTGTCCATCTTCAAACTGTCGGGGAGTCGTCGCCGCGCTCTGGCCAAGGCATAGTCCCAAAGAGTACAAACACGAGGAACTGTTTAAAAAAGCACATGTTACTTTCTGCAATAAGTTGAACGTCTTCCTCCAATCAAGATTGACTTCTCTTGGCAGCGAAAAGCGGCTAACCAACTGCAGCTCAGCATTCAGCATTCCTAAGCTCTCAAGTATGGACTGGGCAACATGACCTAAATCAGCGGAACAAGTATAACCACGAATAAGTTGAGGGAAGGGTGTGGGTGCCTCTCTTATGAATCTCAGTGCAATCGAAGCCTCACAGCTCGCAGGTTTGGCTGCCAGGCATTTGCCTGCAGCAAGTTCCACAGTTCTTCAAGAGGTTTAGATTTTGTGAAGACGTGGACTTTGACACCACATTTCCGGTTGTCTGCGGGCCTGCTTACCGCTTGCGTCTTTGAAAGAAAGTGAGAGCACAGGTGGCATGCGCAGATTTTCTCCACCTGGAACGGCCAGTGTCTTTAGCACACTCCTCATGATTCGTCATGCTATTGAGTCCGGTCCAAAGTACAACTTGGTCGCTTGGTCCCTGACGCAGCTTCACAGTCATGGGAACGCCTTCTGCCTCGGATAAAGCACCATGAGATGATCCAGTTCGTCGTGCTTGATCAAGCTTTGCAGTAAGAAAGAAATTGTCCAACATGCTGCTTGTGTTTGAATTTTGATCGATCGTCCACATGGAAGTGAATGCGCATGGCGAAAGTTGGGATATGGAGCATCTTGGAATCCAGGCAACTCCAGTATGTTGTTGTTGGGATTTGAACAATCGCTTCTCTGGTGCTTGAATCAGTGCTAGAAGTCTCTTGGCCGAGGTGCAGGGAGGAGCTGAACGGCAAAGCGTTTACAGCTGCTATCAAAGTGTTCCACCTGCCACTTCTGCGGAAATTGTGCTCCATCTTCATTTGTCTCGCATGTTTCTTTCACCCTTAATAACAAGGGCATCGTACTAGTAAGGGGCATTACTACTAGTAGCATTCTTACTGCTAGTAACAAGAAGCTAATAGTAACAAAGGGCATTTCTACTAGGAGCAAGGTAGCAACTGGCCTTACTACTAGGAACAAGAACAAGAAGCTACTAGTAACAATTCAACAGGTGGGTGCCTTTCCCCAAAGGTCATTGAATTCCAGAGTCTTCGTCAGGCCAATGATCTGCACTCGTCGACCCACCACCTGGTCCTTAACAGCGAGTCTTTGCTTAAACAGCGTCGTCTAACAATGCTTAGGAGAATGAAAGAAGCTCCGCAGGGCTCTTCTTGGAGCATTTAAGCCACAGCGTTGTAGCAAAAGAGCTTCCCTAAAGCTTACATATTATATATACCATGTCCGAACTTGCTTGTATTTCTAGTTGCACGGTAGTGCAGTATCCAATGGGATGCTGAGGTTCAGCTCGCCGTCCCAAATCCTGTGCTGAGTCATGAGTGTTTAGGTAAGTTTGTTTTCATTTCCTTCCGACCTAACTTTATACATCTTCGCGTTTCTTCACATGCTCCTGCGTTTCATCTCCATACACCAAGTCTCTGAAGGCAAATCAATCACCCGATGTGGAGCAAGCGGCTCTGGAATCGTGCCTCATCAGATTGAACAAGAAACCAATATATTAAATATTTTATAACTAATACTTAAAAAGAAAAAAGAAAAAAAACACCTCGAACAACTAACATCCCACAATCTTCCGATGTAAGAGGGAGAGACAAAGGATATGTTGGTATGAAATACAGCACCGTAGCACCGTTCTTCTGACATCTGACCAAACGCTAGTTCGGGGATGTTCACTCTTTGTGACCAACGTTGACCAAGAAAGTTCTAGACAGATAGAAGTTCAAGAATGTTCACCGTCCAGCAAATGCCAACAGGACTCTCTCCGTCATGTTAACAGATCATTCTGCAATGTCAACGCATCTCAATGAAACGCATCTCACAAACATCAGGCTTCCAGAAGCACCCTTTCCCAGCCTGCTGCCAACTCTTCAGCAGGTTCTTGTTTAGGAAGATCAGAGACATCTGAGGCTGAAGCCGGTTCAGGCTCCACTTCCTCTATCACTTCTATTGGATTCGGGAGCGTTGATACAGGTGGTACTTTTGGTCCCGGTAGCACAGACCCGTCTTTTGAGACGTCAGCCTTGGGCTGGATGTGATTTGAAAAGATCTTTGCCGAGCCAAATGCGGTTTTGGATTCTTCCAAGCCTTTTGGCTTGAGGCCAGCGGCAAGGCGCAAACGTGCCGCCAAGGGATAGAAAGATCTCCGCTTCAAATCCTTTTTCTCGAAAGATCGTGGCGCACTAGCGTCTCGGAGCTCCTCCTTGAGCTCTTCCTTCTCATCTTCACCTTCTTCGGCTTCCTCTCCTTCAGCTTCTTCTCCTGAACCAGGCTCCCCGAAGCTGGGAGTCTCAGCACTCCCAACGCTGGAAGCCCATTCGGCAGCATGGCAAGGCCGATGCCTTGCCCGTTTTCCCCCACGACGAGTGGGCCTCTTCCGCGGCTTCACAGGCGCACCCTCTGCACTTTTCTGATCCTTCAACACTGAGGTCTCCTCAACTATCTCTTTCTGAGTGTCAGTTTCCTCAAAGGTCGCAAAAGAAGGTGCAGCAGGCTCTAGCTGTGCTGGCTCTGGAGCTCGAGAACAACCTGCCCCGTCTTGGTGATCACACGATTGCTCAAAGCGTGAGCTATTTGGAGCACAAAGATTTTGCGCTGCCCAACATGGCTGAGATACTGTTGTCTCTACCTCTTGAGTCGGCATTGGTGGTCCCATTGGCATGTCCGGCTGCTTGCAACTCGGAAACGGTACTGCAACACCAACGCTTGCAGGCACTAGAGGAGATACCAAAGGCCCCAAAGCAGGTGCCGCCATCGCTAAGAAGGGAGGTGCGCCCACAACTGGGACCATCACAGGCACCTGAGCAGGTTCAGATAAATTCGATGAGGAGATGTGAGTAGTACCAGCGTTCAAAACAAAGCAGTGTGGTTGTTCTTCAAACAGCACATGCGTATGAAGTTACTTCACCCTCAAACAGAGACAGGTGCCCCAGATCAGCTTGACTCAACAAATAGTTTTTATCGGCCATGTTCGGGAATGGAAAATGGCATGTGTGCTTTGTCCAATTTGGTCATCCAAAACTATGGCTAAGAATCCTCCTACTCTATATATGATATGTAATTAATATGTATGTTATGTCTATATATATATATGGAAATGCATTATTATATACAGTAATTATGTGTATATATATATATATCGGCATCAAAGGACCTAAGGCGCAGGCCATAGTTGGAGGAAACGGCATTTGATTTGGAACTTGATTCGGCACCAATGCATTGGGAAGTTGATTTGGCACTTGGCATGACGGCATTGGAGCTGGCGGCACAACATTCGCTGCGCTGGCTCGTCTGCGGCGCTTTCCTCGTCCAGATGATGATGTTGACACCTGGGCGCTTTGGCGACAGAAAATGACAGCTCTTCTAGTCAAAAAAAAGGTCACCTCTTCACTTCACTGAGCATGCAAGAATCTCGTTCTCAAAAAATGAATGATTCGACGAGAATGTTCCGAGATACGAAAAGCCGAAGCCTAGCATACGGGAGATCATGAACACTTAAAATCAGTCAGGAGCTTCTGTGATTGCTCCGGCGTCAGAGGTGCGCAAGGAAGAGTTGAGATTTCAGTCTGTTAGTGTTAGTGTCTGACATGGGGTGGAAAGAATCGGAGAATAGATGAGAATAGTTTACGTACTGGCAGGGCTGGGGAATGGTCGTTTCACCTGCCAGGGTTTCACAGACCCACAGAACGGGCCGGACGGGGATCGCAGGCCTTCGCTCTACAGTTCTCTTCCGTCACTAACTCCATCAGATACAGTGTCAGAAGTTACAAAAGACAGCTTGTCGCGGGGGGGGTTCGCAAGTTTTTGTTCCATGGTCCTTTTTTATATGTTTATCTCTGTCTACATCAAATACACTGCCAGAAGTCGGGCATATCAGTCGGGGCGTCACTTACGCGTTCCCACGTGTTTTGCTCTTCTTCTGTCTACTTAGTTTGCGCCGCGTTCAAACCTTCCTCTTGTTTCATGTTGTCTTTAACTTTGACCTTGCTCATCGTTTTGCTTTGTTCTTATTTATATAGTGCTTTCTGATTCTTATTCGGTCTCTTCCACAGGCTCCAGGGGTTCAAGGCAAGCTTTAGCCAGCTCTATGGTTCTCTTCTGCGACTATCTCCACTTCTCCACCAGATACAATGTCAGAAGTTGTATCAAACAGTGTGTTGCATGGGGGTTCGTAAGCTTTGTCCCAGTCTGCATTAAGCACGGGGCTCGCCAACTTTCGCTCCATGTGTCAGTCTACATTAAATACAATGTCAGAATTTGTGTCGGGTGAGGCGTCGCTTCCGTGTTCCTACTCACCGGCTCCACGGGCCCAATGGGCTCATCGGCTTCGAGGATCTTCGCAACCTTTACCTCGATGGTTCTCTCGTGGCTCCACCCGAAAACGACGGTGCCCGGAACGTCAAACGACCGTGCTGCCTGACCAAACAACATCTGCCAGCTCCTTTTCACCGACCCCAGCGCTGCTCTTATTACATAATATGCTGCTCTCACGCCGCCCCGATGCACACCACGGGCTCCATCCACCCACGGACTTTGCGGGGTCTGCAGGCCCGGGTCCAACGGGCTCCATGCACCCGGCACGGGCCAGCACAGAAGACCAGACTCCAGGGCGACAGGAAAAGTTGAGTTCTCAGGTTAGTTGTGACAGTGGGGAAACTAATTTTCAAAAAGCATTTTTGCAGTGTCAAGCTCGCTCCGTCCCTCCCTCCCTCCCTCCCTCCCTCCCTCACTCACTCACTCACTCACCCACTCACTTCATCACCCTTGTTTACACTCACTTCATCCTTGAACCGTTCATCACCCTTGTTCACACATCACATTCCGATAGTTTACGACCGTTTGAAACTTCCGCCCACGGGGTCTGCTGGAGGATTACCAGGTATAATCTTGTATAGCTTTGAAAGCCGAAAGTTGAGAGCCGGACATGCCCACTGGAAACGGAGCGTGAAAAAGGTGGCAGCATTTGTCCATTGTGACACTGGTAGCCTTGGAACTCCCAGTCTGTGGACGGACAAGACCTGCCACTAGATGGCTGGTGCTGCGAGCATTGAGACGACGATGATAGGGAGGATGAAGATGACTTCATCGAGTAGAAAGATGCCTCACTTGCATCACTCAAAGCATCTTCATCTGCCTCATCTACCTGGCTCGGACGAACAAAAGGAAGAGGATCTGAAAGAGACAGCCTTCGAGGCTCATCGGGTTGGTCGGTTGGGTCTGGTTCAGGATCTGTGGTATCAATGTGAAGAAAGGCATTCTTGACCAAGTGCTTCAAATTGGATGCCTTTGTGCGCACATTGGACCCTGGTCGAAACAGTAGGCGAACAGTCCGTGAGACTGCCAGCTCTTGACTCATCGTGCTATAGTCTGAGGAGTCGTTGACTTCGAAAAGCTCATCTCCTCGACAAATACCACAACGACCAAAAGCCTGAAGGACAAAGCGGCAAACGACTGCTTCAAAGAAAAAAACAATCACAGCAATGCAAGTTCCAAAAAAGACTGCTTCAAAGCTTGAGGCTGTCTCTGGCTGGTGTTTCTACTCTGGATTGTTGCAAGCCAGCTCCAGCCTGCTGCTGTTGGTTCCATCTGCCAGCGGGTGAGCATGGGTCCACGCCAGCCACTTGAAAACTCCCAGCCTGCAGTGGGAAAGCAACACGACTCAACATGATTGAAAAGTCTTTCTCACTCCTTCTCAGTCTTTGGAGTAAGCAACACCTCAACAACACCAAGGCAGCAGCCCGAGCAAGGTTCCATGCAAGCCCCCATGCCTGGCCCCCGATGCCGCATTGTAAAAGCTCCAACAGCAAGTTGACAATGGCCACTAGGATTTGTCATGGCATGTCAATCAATGCAAGAAGAAAATAGAACTGAAAGTTGTAGAAAACCTCATGGTTCCCAGCCTCAAGCTGCGAACGATTCAACTCTACCTCGAAGGGCTCAATGTTTCTTTCGAAAGGCACACCATCCTGCAAACTACATCGGATGCATGCAAAATGCTCAAGTCGTATATAGTGTATGACGGCCAAGGTGTGAAGGAAGCTGGATGCCTGTTGCAGAGCAAAGTGGCTCTGCTTTTCAATGCCTGACGGCAAGAAAACTGTTTGAGCTATGCGAGGCAAATCAGAATCCCAGCGACCGTCTTGCCTTTGTAACTAGGTACAAAACGACTGGGCAGTCCACCTGGGAAGCTCTTCAACTATTTGAACTCACAAATAGAAGCTCCTCTAAGCCAGCGACCCATTATTCAGCCTAACAAACACACAAAAGTGTTTACAACAGTCACAAAGTGTTGACAAGAGTTAGAAAAACACAAGCCTAACAGCACTCAGAAGTCATCAGAACTCCAAACCCTCGAAGTCCGTGCCTTTGTCGGCGCATTCCACGTCAGTGGAAGACGTAGCTCCTTTCTAGGTCCGCCTCAGCGGGGGTTCCGCATCACACATTCACAACTTCATTCATCGCAACACCCTGCCGGCAAAGGCACAACCGTCCGCAAGCAAGCTTTAAGGGCGGACAGAAGTGGACGGTTGTGAGCCACAACAGCTGCAACATGCCGGTCAAGGCTGCACCGTTGCGGTTGTGCTTGAATTTGCCATCAATATATTCTGCTCTTATCCAAATGTTCTCCAGGCACCGATAAACAATATGCAAACAGAGTCTTCAGAATCCTGAGCGCTCCTCACCTGCGGAATGAATAAGAGAAGCTCTGATCCATCACTCAGCAAGTTTGCTGCAGTAAACAGCATGTACCTCTGCACGTTGGATTCAAAGATTTTTTGACGGAATGCTGAGAAATTCCGAGGCCAAAGCCCATAGCACATAAAAATCCAGAAGAGTGTCTGGGGCGCCATTCCCTGGCTACAGCCATCTGTCAACGCAGGAAGCATAGAACCAAGACTACTCGTGACGTGCGTAATCAATGCAGGTTTCTTTCACCTCCGGACTGGGAAACAGGAAGTCCAACCTTGGGACACAAAAGCGGTGCCCTCAGCACTGCAACAAGAGTCTGAAATAATCTTAGCATCGCAAGCCCAAGTAACATGGTGGTTGGAGCCTTCGGCGAGATCCTCCAACAAAATCGTGCTGTTTCACATTGATACCAACTGTGCAACCCATACCACTCCTGGTTCACAGGGCAGTTCCGTGAGTTCCGTGAGCTGATTTGAACCCAAATGTCTTTGTCAGGTGCGTCTTGCTGCATGCATTGACGATCAACTTGAGGTCGGATCTGTACAAAGCTTGCACCGGACACAGGAGATTGCACTAACAAACGATTTTCTCGCTGCTAGGCTGTCAGAGACTGCCATCTGCCCACTTCCGCCTGGAAGGCACTAAATTCATACTTGAAAAGGCCATGGACGTGATGAGGCTTCGAAGCAATCTGCACACCGGGCTGGGCAAAGCTGCTGCACAGTAACATTTATGCGCAGGTAGTGGTAGTAGTAATAGTAGTAGTAGTAGTAGTAGGAGTAGGAGTAGGAGTAGGAGTTGTGGCAGCAGGAGCAGGAGCAGGAGTAGGAGTAGGAGCAGAGCAGGAGCAGGGGCAGAATCAGGAGCAGCAGTAGGAGTAGTAGTAGTAGTAGTAGTAGTCTAGTAGTAATAATAATAGTTTAATAGTGAACTAAATATAAATATGTAGCAGCATGGAGGTTCCTACTCCTCAATCGTTCCTGTTCCAACTTGAATGGGAAGCTGGAAATTGTACACTACAGTCACTACAGCATTCACCAACTGGGCATAAACATAGAGCGGATCCGTGTCAGCATCCACCAGTACCAGTACCAGATAAAGAATGCGGTACGAAAAGGGTTACATTACATATCTTGCCGAGGTGCAAAAGCCCTAAAGACAACTCGCCTACCAGTATGGGGTGGAAGAGCTCGAGGCGAGGTTGTGTTAAACAGCACCAATGATCTCAAGAGAGCAAGGAAAGACCTTGTGACATGATGTGAAATCCGAAACCGAAATTCACAAATCAGGAGGGAAATGCTACGTTACTGAGCCAGCACGACAGCACAGCAAAGTGAGGTGAGGCCAAGCAGCGCGTAAGATGCCGTGAACAAGCAGCTCGCCCTTTTCATCATGGCAACTGCGCGATTGGAGCGGCATTTCTGCAGTGCAAATACATTTGACTTTACTTTGTCATTTTATGCAGCAGGCTGGCAGCGGGCTGACAGCAGGCTTGTGACCAATCTTTCCTTGACGTACACTGCATAGAGATGCTTGGCAACTTGGAGCACCGAAGCAATGCCCATCAGTAGAACGGCCGTGAATGATGTGAAAGGCTCAGCACTACTTCTTCGCAACTGAACTGCTTCCCCTCAGGTATCTGCACAACCAGAGGCGAGTCCCAGCACGAAAGAGGTGAACACCAAGTTCTCAGCCACCATGAAACTCAGCTCTGCCCACCAAAGCTGCTTGCTTTGGTCTTCAGGGAGCTTAGCAAGAAGCATCTGCCACTCAGCTGCATTTGATGCATGTTTTGGCTGCAGTCCAGCTAGTCGTTTTATTGACTGGCCCCAATGGAGGGATGCAGCTGTAATCAAAAAGAACGTGTAGAACCCTGCTTTGTAAATCGATTTCATTCCAACCAGTTCCATTAGCCATATATGGTCAAGAATGTAAAGTGTAGCAGCCCCCATGTGAATCAAATCGTGATGTCTTGTTTGGTTTGGTTGGTTGGACCATGCACTTATTCCTGCAGTTAGCAGCATTTGTGCAGCAAATGCCAATATGGCAAGGTCCGCACTCCAGTCCAAAATCCGAATGAAAAAATACCATCCAACAAGCCACAGTAACAGGCAGGCAAATCTTGGAAGGCCTCTCGAAGTGGTGTAGCTTAGAGAGGCTGGAAACTTCAGCTGCTGCTCCGATGTTCGCATATAATAAAGAAGCATGGGCAAATACTGGCTGCAAAGGAAGCAGAATCTGGCATTTCGTAAGCTCGAGATGCTCTCTAAGGACAAGCCAGACCTGAAGCGCTGGCCTTCAGCTTGAGGATCAATAATAAGCTTCATCAAGCCAACCTCTTCCATTGTGGTTGGCTCTCACCCGCCGCAAATCCATGACACTTTTGCAAGTGGTTTGAACCACAGGCGAATGCAATGACGCTCCGTGAACATCCATCATGAAACTGTGGACAATGAAAGGATAATGCGTAGGCCATGTTTGTGGGTCTCCAAAAAACATCAAAAAACTAAACCCATTAAGAAACCAAACTGGACCATTTCAAGGCAAGTGACACCTCACCATACCGGAGCACCAAACAACTACAATAAGAATGAAGCCAATGGCCTTGGCGAGAACAACTTGAAGGTATCCATCACCAACGGTCCAGGCACAGTCATCTGGGCGAATGCGCCTTGGAAGTTTCGAAGTGGGATCTAGCGCCATCGTATTTAACTTATATAACCATATTTGCCAACCCTGCACCAGAAGTCAGAAACTCCAGAAAGTGTCATGCGAGCTTGCCCGTATGATGTCCGTACCTAGTGAACCTGCGAAGATAGTTTAACTCGATTCTGTCTGCCAAGATGGTTGCAATGCCAAGTTATCAAAGACCAGGCAAGGTTTGCTTGTTGTGTCTTGCTCAGTGCACAACGCAGCAAGCTCTATGTCCATAAGGAGCTCTCCGCGAACCTGGGATATATGAGTGCTGCTTTCGCTTCAGCATTGAACCGAGAAGTTTGATGCAATAGAAAATGGGGAACCAATGAAGCTGGCAGTCCTGGACTCTCTCAACATAACACGACAAAGTTTGTGGAATTTGCAAGAATGGAACAGCAGTTGCTCAAAAAGCACAACCATTGCTCGGTGCAATCTGGACAGTAAATCTGCTCAGGCTTGAACAGTTACCTTCAGGCGGCGATAGCCAAAGCCAACATCCACGACCCTGCCATGGATCATACTTTGGCTGAAATGAGGGTTTCAAACGGTGAAACTCGCCGAAGCCGACGCTGAATCACTGCGTCTCAACTCTGGACGCTTCAGAACAACCTCCACATCACCTTGATCTTGTTCCCAACCTCAGATCTCAATATTTAGCTCCAACATCTAAAAAGCTTAGCTCTTGCATCATGTTGGAATCCTTCACTTGCGCGCAAGAAAATTCCAGGAGCTTGGCTGACTTGGGCTCTGGGCCTCATGGAAAATGAACTGCCGAAGCGCAAGCTTACTGCTTACGCAGTTCCCTTTACATTGACAATGATTATTCATGCCATGTTTCCTGGGGCACAAACCCAGGTCTTCCTGTGCGAACTTCAATACCCTGCTGGGTGCAGACAACCTGGCAAAGTCGTGAAGTGCTGATTCCGCAATGGTATTCAATGGTATGACTATCCAAGTGCACATGTCCTTTTCTTTGTCGTGCCAGCGTCACTGTGAAGCGCGGAGGCTTGCCGTTATCAGGGTCAGGTGCCTGGTAACCAAAAAACTGAAAAGCAAAGTTGCTTGCAATGCAATATGGCAATATGCCTGGGCATCAGCTTCTGAGATTCGAAGTGAGCTCAGGACCTGACTTTTCACTTGGGACAAGCAGTGTTCACGAAAAGCAAGTAACTGCTCCCAAGACGTCTAGCACTGAGTTCAAATCCGTGATGTTCCGGTGGAATGCAGACATCAAACGATCTTCTGTGCGCCTGTCAAGTCTCACAACCCCACCTGCTGGCTAGCCCTGCATTAACAAGTCGGCCTTGTGATGGAATTACCAGAAAGGTCCAAAATCCGCAGGGCCTTGGCGGCAAAGGAGCAAAGAAGCTACTAGGAACAAAGGGCATCGCTACTAGGAGCAAGAAGATACTAGTTGCAGGAAGAAATATGATCACTATCTTGTGAAGGTGGGAATTGTCTCTTGTCCGTACAGAAACCATTGCAAATACTGCGCTACTGCTCGTGCTGCTGCCACAACCTTTACCAATTATTACAATAACAATACTTTCAGCCCTCCAACTTCTACCACTTCTACTAATCATCTGCTACTACGACTACGACTACGACTACGACTATTACTACTACTACTACTACTACTACTACTCCTGCTACTACTACTACTACTACTCCTCCTCCTCCTGCTGCCGCTGCTGCTGCTCCTCCAGCACCAGCACCACTACCACTATTCTTTTTCCTTCTAAATCTACTTGTACTTCTGCTTCTATTGTATATGGCCACTTCAACTGGCACTGTTGAAGCTGATATTGCTGCTGCTGCGGTTGCTACTATTGTTCCTGCTATATATATAGCATTACTCTTGCAAGAGACTTCTGCTACTGCTCTTACTGCGCGCGGCTTCTGCTGCAAGAATGTGTGTCAACCATGTTCGCAGGGGGCCACCCCCTCACCAGTGGTGGATGGCCATCGAAGAGGCCACTGGTGAGGGCTGAAGACGTACCTTTCTCCTTTCGGTTTGCTTCTCATGGTGGTTCTCATGCTATTCCCGTACACCCTTCTTTTTGCACGGCGTTAATTCGATCTGGTACGTATTCGGTAACTAGCTTTCCGCAGTCACGCGCTAAACTTTTGTTGAAACACCTTCAACTCACTGGACCCAGCCGCCTTCGTGTATCAGGTTTTTCTGACTAAGTGCCGCCACCGTGGATTCTGGCTTGAATTTTAACCCATGAGTCAACCGATCGCAAAGCTGCCGAGCTACGGAATTTCACGCCGCCGGGCTTACAGTAAACATACACATGTACACACACATGGACATACACCCCCCCCCCCCCCCCCCCCCCCCGCTTTCTCTCTTGCGCTTTCTTCGTTTTCTAGGTGTTCTTTCAGGCTTGTTAAGTAGTTCTTGAGGCTCGTTTCCCTGCCCCTCGGGTTTCTTAGTCAAGGGCTAAGTAGTCAAGTGCTAAGTAGTCACCTGCTTCGCTACCCCTATCTTTTTCTCTTGCCCTTTTCGTTTTGCTCTTTCTGTTTTTTTTTGTCTTTCTTTCTTTCTTGCTTGCTTTCTTTCTTTCTTGCTTTCTTTCTTTCTTTTCTAAGGCTTTTTCGGTACCGACTGAGGTTCTGACCCGTAATTTGCCGCTCGCGCGGCAGACCTGCACGCCCTTACACCTCCTTTTGTTTTTCTCCTGCCCTCTTCGTTTTCCGTTTTTTCTTTCCTTTCTTCTTCTAAGGCTTGTTAGGTGACTATTTAGGTTTAGCGCCGCAAAGCGGCCGTGTGTGTGTGTGTGTCACACTCTGTTTCCAAGAGTTTTGCTTTTCTGAAACCATGTTCGCAGGGGGCCATCCCCCTCACCAGTGGTGGATGGCCACCGAAGAGGCCACTGGTGAGGGCTGAAAACGTACCTGCGGAGCTGTTGCACAAGCTGTTCTACTTTCGGTTTGCTTCTCATGGTGGTTCTCATGCTATTCCCCTAAACCCTTTTTTATGCACGGCGTTGATTTAGCTTTCCGCAGTCACGCGCTAAACTTTTGTTAAAACACCTTCAACTCACTGGACCCAGCCGCCTTTCCGTTCCATCGCTCTTTTTGTCGTGGATTCTGATACTGGATGAACGAGAATCTGAGAATCTGACCGCTGGTCTTGGCCGGACTGCCACATCCAGCACCGCCAGAAATTCTTCAGCCTCAGTTGGTAGGAAGGCACAAGCCTGAAAATCTAAACTTATTCAAAGGCGAGAGATTGCAAAAATATAACACACATTACAGTCATGTGCCTTCTTCCTTCTTGGGTTCCCTGACACCCTGATCACCAATACTGTTCCTGCTGAGGTTGAGCTCGATCAGCGATTTGTTCCTGTCATTTCGATTTAGTTGGCTGTGTGCAGTTGATTGCTGTCCGATTACAAACCAGAAGCTCCAATCGCTTCCATTTCACTGATGTGGACCATGGAAGCTTTGATGAGAAAGTTCCCAGTTCTGGCAAGTTGAGCAAAGGTCCCACGCACAAACAGGACAGAAAGATCAAAGAGGGAGGGTTTTGGGTTCGAGTGGCGGACGGGCGGAATCACAGGATTCAGGAGGAATCCTGAAAAGCTGCAATTGTAGAGATTTCTGGAGACAAGCACATAAAGAGATTGCTATCTGCAAGTTGGAGCTTTGAAGAGAAAGTATCTATATATATACAAAAGCAAAGATTTCCAGAGATCACACCCAAAACCAAAGGATTTTTAGAGAAAACATCAGAAAACTATGGAAATGTGGTACATGTTCAACAGTATTGAGGTGGTACGGTTCTATTAGTGAAGTGGTGAAGTTGTTTGTTTCTGGTACCTTTAAACCACTTGTGAAGTGGTGTATTTCTAAAGGTGTTTAAGTCCAAAAGTGGCCTGAAAGTGGTCAGCGTCATAGTTCACCACAAATCACCGCTCCGCAATTCATGCACCACATCAACACAAGTGAGAAACCAACAAGGTATCGCATCATCACACTCCCCAATGTGAGAAATCAACATATAGTTGCTATATAGTTGCTATAGTTGTCCTTTTTCGTCCACCCACCGGCCGTGCCACAGCTTACCTGGTATGTCGGATAAACGCAAAAAATGATCCCAGTGCAGGGTTCAAAGGTGCGAGCTGTGTGTTTGACAAGTGGTTGCTCACTGAACACAGAGACAGAGTGACTTCGTGACCGGGCTTACGCCTTGAGACACCAGAGGCCAGCTGTTGTGCACCCCTGGCAGGGGGCGGGCTTCAAACAGTCAGAGAAAAAGTATCTACACTACTAAGTACCACAGTGTATATATAATGTATCAAAATAGGGAGACCTCTAGAAGAAGGAACATAGACTATTCATTGGTTGACACCCATGCCATATACGTTACAATCAAAACATGGTATCCACGACAGCAATCACCCCTTGTGATAGGCCCTTGCCTTGATCCAAAGCGATTGTCAGAAAGGTCAATCCTCGCCCATGCTTCAGAATGCAAAGCTAAACCGTTCAACGCGTTTGTCGTCAAGCATCTGAGCAAAGGGCTTTTTCAATACATTGTTGCTGTCCAGCACTGCGGCAATGGGATCCTTCCATTGAGAATACAGCATAGCAGCAGAGTAGACATATATATATATATACACATTGTCAGCAAGGGCAGAAAGGTAAGAAGGAATTACATAGGTAGGTCAAGTTGAACAATACTGGATACTGTTGGTTGATGATGATTCCATGCTGCATTCATGCAGTCGAGATACAATACCCTCGTCTGTGATGCCGTTACTGCTCAACCTGTGTCTGATAGCCACAGCAAAGCAGCAATTTTGAACTTGCTGCCACGGGCGCTGGAAAGCTATGGATCTGGCACAAGCTCTGTCAGGGCTTGGTTTCGCATCAAGGCTCCTACAGTTGAATCAAGGTCTCTTTTACATGTAAATAGATAGCGATGGCCTCCAACTAATATACTAGCGATGGCCTCCAACCTAATTTAATAGCGATGGCCTCCAACTCAATAGCAATGGCCTCATGCTAATTCTGGATTTGGGGTGAAAATACACACACGATCCTGCAATCCAACTGGCGCCAGAATTGCCTTGGAAACAGAAACTGATTGCTCAGCCCTTTGAAGGTGCCTTTACTTTGTGTTCTTTTTCATTTCCTGTATGTATTTTGTCTGGCAGTTGTTTTGTGTACTTTGAGTCCAGATCCTATCTTTGCCCGCACAAGCCTCAAGGATGTGACCTGCAGGCAGCATATATCAGAATCAGAATACAAGTTCTGTAGAGCTCTGATACCTGCTGTCTCCATGAAGAACATGCAAACATGTGCAAAGTGTCATTTCTCAGCTTCTTGCTGCCCTGTCTCGCTTAATTGCGCCAGACTCAGTGGAGTGCTGACTACTGCACGAGAATAATCTGAAATCTTGACATCTGACGAAATCTGCAATTGCTGCCCTAGCAGGCTGAATGCTCAACCGACTGAACCCTCCCGACATCTCAACACTTTCCAGCTTACTGCCCCCCGGCTTGGCTCATGGTTGACAGAAAACAGCGAGAACGATGCCTTACATATTTTACTCTAGAATACATTCACATGTTTGCCTATCCTGTGATTGAGAGCAACGCAAACTCTTCCAGTTCTTGAAAGCCTGAAGCTACCACCTGCGGTCGAAAGACTATTCCGACAGTGATCTTTGCCAAAGCTGAGCTCAACAGTCAAACAGCATTTCAGGGCCAAACATGGGTGTCACTGAGGTCCAATTCAACGCCATGATTGCGAAAATCTGCCTGCTCGGACCAAGGTCAAGACAGGTTGTTGTAAGGCCCCTTGTGCAAGAGACTCTGCGCCAAAATACGACTTGAGCGCACTGAGAATGCTGCCAAACTTAGAACACCTTTCGGAAGCAGCTTTTCCCCCCAGGCTTCAACCTCAGACTGTCAATGGTTCAAGAGCATGATGCCCTCACAATGGAACTGCCGTTACAAAGGCCGTGACGCCTTCATCTGCATGGCCAGAGAGGTTGAAGTGCCCGAGGATGCTATACTGGGGCCCCAGGATGCTATACTGGGAATTGAGTGAACGTAACCATATGCTGCAGATCTTCTGTTGTCTCGCATTGCCGACAGCATGGCATATTGCCATGGAAAAGCTGCAAGCGTCATAACAGGCATCATCTTATTGATCTGCAAACAACAGCCTGTCCTTCTGCCAGTGACATGCCTGAACGCCAGCGTGCTGCAAGATGATGATGAAGATTTATCGTATGAGAGATCATGCCAACATCTGAAAGAGCAATCAATCGCACCAGATCCACCAAGCTTGAATCCAAGTCCTAGGCGAGTCACCAACCATCAGAAGAGGCAAACCTACTATGGTCTGCATTGACTCAGCCACCAGCAAACACAAGTCTTCTTTGCGGAACACTAGTCACCTTGGGGTTAGGCACGAAACAAACCCCTAGCTTCATCAAACTCTTGTTCGCCGGCTCACTTGCGTCTATGGTTGTTTCTAAACGCTGCCATTTTGACATAGCTTGGCCACTGACCTCTTCCTCTTGTTCCTGTGTCTAAACCAGATCTCAAAGTCTCGAAGCTTGAATTCAAGGCCAAAAATGCTGCAAATAATGTCCGATGTGTTGTAACAACTAGTCAAGAAAAAAGTTAGGGAACGAAGAGCGGAGTTCACAAAGGTATGTTAAAGTTTGAAAGATGTGAGAGACAGGGCAAGCAAAGTGGAGGCGCCACTGCCTACCCATCTTCACGGAAGGAGATCCAAATGATTCCAAATGAATCTTCATATGTGAGTTGTGACAACTGGAGAGGTCTAGAAGCTAGCAAGTGGATAATGCTCGAGGGGATGCCAAACAATGATGTACCACTATCTTGACGAAAATGCGGTTTTTTCTCATGTCCCGAGCATTTTGTTCAAGAAACAAAGTCCGCCAGCACCCATTGCAGCAGTCCTGGGGACTTTGATCCTGGTTGCCCGTTGTGTCCACTCCTGATGCGAGGTCACGATGCGCAAAGCAACCTAGTAACTGTAACTAGTAGCCAGTGTAGCCGGTAGAAAAGAAATTGTTCTTGCTTCTAGCGCCGGTTCCCAGCACTAGTAGTTTGAGTCAGTTACAAAACTGCAAGGACGCAGGCGACTAAGACTTTGCTGGTCCAGCCTCGACCTTGTGGTTCTCGGACTTGTTGCCCTTGTCCCACCATGCTGCCAGACGTTGGTCCTGCTACCTGTTTTCTCACAGCCGTGCCAGCTGCATCCACACGTCATGTGTAAAAGGCATCTAAGCAAGCAACTCTTTGCTCGGATGAGACCTGGGCGTGGGGCACGGAGACGTGGCGGACTAGCGGTGAGGATGATGAGGCAAGGAACACAGAGGCTTGGCCAGAGATGCACACGCAATAGGCACAGAACAGGAGACAGATAGGCAGATGGATGGATGGATGGATAGATGGATGGACCAAAGCTACTTCAAATCTGGCCATGCTGTAATATCCGCCAACCCCGGCAAAGGTAGGGGGAGCGCGTCGGAGAAATTCCCTCTGCGGAGCCATACGTCCTATAGACCATGGAATAGGACTGGGGGGTGTCTGTGGATTGCACGGTGGTGTCCGTGAACGCGTTCGCTCGGCGCTCTCCCGCGACTCCACTGGCACGCCGTATTCCGATGGGACAACGTGCCACGCAGACCTGGTGTTATTAAAGCCTTGCGATATTTCCAGGCTCGTGTTCTATAAAACGGTCCGGTATAAGGACCGAAAATGCTTTTGAAAAACAACCAAACTCCCAGAAGTCGTCCTCAAACTCATAGCCCAATTCATTCAAGTCATTGCCCAACTCATTCAGGTCAAAGCCACTGCTCGTCTTCGCGTATATTTTTAGGTTGCACTTTGGCACACGGTCCCCTAAGCGTGAACGAAGCTATAAAACCAAAAAGGCGTTCGAAAACGACGACGCGCTTGTTTTTTGTCGTGCCGGATACTTGTTTTATCTGGCCATGAATTTGCTTCATCGAATATGCGCGCGCATATACTATATGCCTCCTTATATATACTGGGAATGGGGTCGGGTGATGAGAGGATGGGAAAGATAAGCACGAGGCAGGGATAGACCAGGGATCTAGAGGAAAGCCTTTGAAAAGAACACCTTTTATATAGCGCTTGTTTATATAGAAGTGATCATTCTGAGAGATCCAGATGTAAGCTTTTGAAATGACAACGTTTTTGTACAAAGCTTTCCAAACAGAAGGGACTATTCTCCATTGTGATCGTTCCCAGAGTTCCAAAGGCAAGCTTTCGAAATGAAAGTTGTTGTATCAGTTTTTTTGTGCAGAAGTAATCATTGCCAGAGATGCAAGGGAAGGTTTTGAAATGATTTTTTGCAAACGCTGTTTAATATAGAAACGCTCATCCCAGAGATCTAAAAGCTATTTTACAAGGATCCTATATTGGCAATTCAGTTTTTCCAGAGACATCTATTTTCACAGATCATTGGCCGTTGGCTTAAAGGTACCAGTTAACCTATAGAAACACTAAGTGTTTTCATATCTGTTTTCCCACAGATCCAAAGGAAAGCTTTTGAAACAAACGTTTTTTGTTGTCTGCGGGGGTTCGTCGGGGGGCGCTGAGCTATGGGCACGCCCCCTACGAACCCCGAACATATTGTTTGCATTGGTGTTTATAGAAAAATTGTGTATACACACCTACTTAAGTATATTGCACCGCATTTATGTTTACACATACTTGTCATCAATTTCTCTGTCCATTGTCTATGTTTTCTTCTTATAGTTACCAAAACCAAAAAACAAAAAACGAAACTCTGAGGAGAATCTTTGGCTTTGACCTGAAAGATGTCTTTTTGGTTTTCATTGAACTTTTGGATACTCTTCGAGTCAATTGTCTGCGTCGCACAAGGGCAACACCAAAAATCGTCGGTAATTTTTGTTGGGGGAGCTAGCGTGTATATACAAATATCTATATATATATATATTATAGAGAGAGTGAGACAGATGTTCTTCGCTCTAGCCACGACTCCAACCACTTGCGTGCCCCTCTGCGCGACACCTTCAAAGTAGGTATTGCCTGGGCACCTCTACGTAGGTGAGCTCCACAAGGAAGCCAGCGCGCCTGCTGAATGAGCGGACAATTCTTGCAGGTCCACCATCACATCAGCAAACAGCCCGCAAGCACAGTTGGAACATGCACTCTGTCTTGTTTTGCAACAACGCGCTGAAAGCATCTTTCTGCTGGCGATCCACTGTTCCACTGTTGATTGCCATAAAGCCCGCAAGACTAGGAAAAGTCTTTGACGCGGAAATCACCTTTCGGAATGCTGTGGACATCGCTTCTATCTGTGGGATCCAAGAACTTCCCCCGCTCTTCTTGACCTTCAGCAGCTTGAGGCCCAGCTTGGTCGCAGGCCCGGCTTTGGCATCTATCACCGCACGGTCCCGCACATCCAACGCTGCATCAATGCTCCTCAAGCCGGAGATGACATGTGCGCACCACCCCGCCAAAAGGCGGAGTTTTTTCCGCAGAAGCTCGACGCAGTCCACCTGCAGCTCTTCCAACAGCTCTGCGTTCACTCGATTGACTACCCGCGCAATAAGCCTTGAGGCCTTGCTTGTTTCTATGTGAGCTTTGCTTTTGGTTCCTAATTTCTATATAATGCAACATAGAGGCTGCTTCGATTCCTATGACGATGGATTGTCCACGCTGTCTCCAAGTAACGAAAGTCCCGTACCAAGTCATCAATGAGCTGGTGGTGTCTTAAGCACTCCTAAGCACAACACGCGACTCGCTTCGAGCTCTTCGATTCGACAAAGACAGTGGGAGCCTAAATCATAGGCACCAACATGAAAACCTAAAAAAACACTTGCGAACATCAAGG